CCTAAGACAGTGTACGAAGTATGGAAATCAATCAGTTGGAATGGGACTCACCTTTTAGTTACTGGTGGCTAAGCCGCTGTGAAAAGGAGCAGATGACGGCCTACAAATTCATGCTTTTCGGCGTCGCTTTTTTCTTCCTTTACTTAGGAGCTGTCTCGTGGGTCCAGTTCTACATGTCCACCGCCACGTCGCTTAGTATCTCATCACTGTCGTTTATAGCGTTCCTCATTTGGCAGCTACGCATTGCTAGCAAATGGAGGTATCTCGCTTGCGCCGCCATCGTCAGGAAATGTGGTAAGAGAATCGGGGTCATCTGCAGACAGTGCATCCTTGCAGTCGTATCTGTCGGCGCCGAGAACACCGCCGGTATTAAGAAAATCCATGCTGGAATCAGGTGCTGCAGCGTCAGCATCGGGCTTCACAAAGTCCGTGATACCGACACCAACGTAAATTCAGCAACGTTTCGTTACACTTGCCTCGAAATTTATACGACCATGTCATATCTGCTGAACGCCTTGGCAATTCATAAATATGAGTGTGTCGGATATGCCTCATGAAGAACCGCAAATGGCGTGTAGCTGGCAATACTCGATCCGATGGTACAAACAAAGCTATCATTCAGATGTAGGATGTCGCGAATACGGAATTGTCCCAAAATAGTCCGGCATAGCTGATTGGAAGTAGTCCATGGCTTTTCTCTGCAATTTCTGTCCGTGATGGACATATGGCTATGACGATAAGACTATGTTCTGGGGAGTTGAGCTCTCGGTGACGAGGAAACTACGGTTGCAACGCCGCTGGGTTTGTGTACATCGGAGCGTTCTTACAAATGTGAGATGGGTGTGATAACGGGGAAAATTATCTCCAAAGAGTCATCTGATGAATCTAAGAAACTTTCTGGACCATCGGGTGGCAGCAAATACGTTGCAAACTCGATAACTTCGTAAACAAACGCCAGCACTAGAAATAAAAGCCATGCGTAAAAGTAACGGATGTTCCCTTTGCCTACACATTTACTCGTCCATGGACAATGATGATCATATTCTTCAATACACACTCGACAATCCATACAATGCAAAGCTCTGTAACCACAACATACCACATCAATTTTAAAAAAAAAGCACCAAATCACCGACGTCACATGGGCTATTTATTCGCACCCTTCTGGTCGATACGAATCACAATAGTCGCAGTATGTATAAGTGTCATCTAGAGGCATGGTAATTCTAGCAATATACATACAAGGACATCAGTACTAATGTCCTTGTATATAAAATAGATAAATCTCACTTTTTTGTTCCAATGATCCAATAGTAAATAGCTCATACCTTGTAACAATACCTGGATTACTGCATCCTACAAGAGCATAACAAACCAAACACATGGCTGATAGAAAACCACCTGTTAATACTTCGACTAGTGTCGCTTTTTCAAATGTCAAGACGTTTACTACAAACGTCAAGAAGCAAAGAATAAACCACGTTATGACCATTAAATGCCAATGAGGTCCGACTAGACACTTGGGCTCCAGCGACTCGAGTTCGTGGACATTTGTCCATCGGACACCATAATTCACGTGCTTAAGTTGCACTAATTCCAATTGATGGGGTGTAGGGACACAAAACGGACTCTGAAGTACCTTTAAAACCTGCCAATCAGCGTCGTTTGGGACAATAGGTGCATGTCTTCCTTGCTCCAGATTGGTGTTATTAGCTGGAAATGAACGTATTGGACTTGTATTCAGACGATTACGAGTTAATAGACTGTCGTACTCGTGTTTATATTCAGTATTACACGACCGGTTGTTAATAACGATGGATGGTTGCGTTATATGGAGAGGTTTGAGAGATGGAGCAGACGTTAATTGGCCGGTCTTTTTGTCCATTTTGTTCTACTTCAGAAAGTTGAGGTTTATTTTATTGTCAGCACTTAACAATAATTATTTGTATCTATTTGCGTGTGTTAAAAATTATTTTTTGTTATCATTTGGA